ATTCACGGTGAAATTTGCTACTTATATTATAATTATAATATTTTGTTAACCAGTGTAGTCGCAACTAGTAAGAGTGTTCACGGTATTTCCTTCTATTCGCCTGGTTCCAAAGCATTCGTTATGCAGATTAAGTGTCTAAACGCAGTGCGTAATTGATACGGCTAAGCAAATATGTGCACACGCAAACAAACACACACCCATCCTTACAAACTTATACAAAAACACTTACATACACACTCGCGCTTATGTAAAATATACAAATTACCAAAGGCATAAAATTACTGTAAAGCCAAATGTGAGCCGTGTGCTATGAGCGTCTTGACGTAAACTTGCCAGCAAAAACAAAAGACGCCAACAACAACAAAAAGAACAAAAAACGTTAAACAAATGAAAAGTGCCAACAAACTTAGACATTAAGACCGCTATTATGCGACTTTGAGTGTTTGGAAACGAAAGCACCTCACAAGTATAATCAGTAGCATGTGCGGAAGGGAGGAGGCGGCGGAGGAGCGCAGGTTGACCGAAAAGGTCACATAAATTACACCGGAAATTGCGATGCCGCAAATACTCGTAACTGCAGCACAGCAGCTGCCCGACAGATAGCGGTACTTGACGAGAGTGAGGATAGCATCGGCGGCACGAAGCGGTTGCGTGGCCGCCAGCCAATTTTAATGTGGCATTTAAAGAGCGTTAATGGAAATTTATGGTTTATTTGAATTTACTTTCCGTGGCAGGTGTAAACATGTGCGACGGAGCCGAAATTAAAACAAACAAACCAAAATAAAACTCGCTACGCAAGTGCAAAGAGAAACAAAAAATAAAAACAAACAACAAAAAGGCAACGACGGTGAAATTAAAATTAAAATGGAAATGAAAATGGAAATAGCTTCAATTTCAGCTCAAACAAAGAGCGGGCATCATGCGATTAAAGGCATCGCTCAAGTGATAAAGTTTAGCTGCGATGATGACGCCGATGATGCGGGCGCTGGTGGAGCGCGAGTTTAAAAAGTTAGTGTCTATGTGTGACTGTCGTGTGTGTGTGTGCGTTTGTGTGGATGCAAAGTCGTAAAAGGGCAATTGTTGGTATTAACTGTTGCTGCTTTTATACCGAAGAAAGCGCTAAGTACTAAGTTAAGTTAAGTATTTAAAAATCTTTTCGAGTATTAGCCATTAAAATCCAATAACCTGTTGGATTTGCATAAGATAAAGTTGAGCGGCACAACGCACTAAATGTTTTAGTATTTGTGCGTCGTCTATTGCCTGCTTAATGCAAATACGCCAAGTTTAGAGGCGGAAATTAAGCGGATAAGTGTGTGCTCACTTCTTAAATATTTGCCTGAGTTTTTACAATAAGCGTTTTAGGCTCAATAAAAAGGCACTTAGAAATTGTATATTATAATAATTGTTATTTTGTTATTACTATTATTATTATTACTATTCTTTTTTTGTTTATTAGCGACTCTAGCAGACGTCCTCTACTACCTGTTCAATTCACGAATGATCTCAATTTCAAATAAAAGATCTTCAAACAGAGTTATAAGACCGTTTCCTATTTGTTTTGTAATAGTAGAAAGCATCGAAAGCAGGAGTGCAGAGTTTTGATATGCTAAGCCTAACCAGCTCTTATCTCATATCTTTCCCACGAGACCACTGAACTAAGTATTACTGCATCGGAGAAAAGAAGACATTTGGGTCTTCTCTCTTGTAGGAACTGACGGGCGCTTAATCTGTTGTAATTGTAACAAGCTTGCCATAATTAAAGCTGCCTCTTCACTGATAGCTTTCCTATTTACAGAGAACTTTTCACCGTGAGACTTTCCCCAAGTGTGGTTTTCAGTTTTTCCTTTATACTTGAAAACCGAGGGAAATGATAAAGTACGTGTTCAGAATCTCTTACACACTCTGTGTAAAAGATACAATATGGACTAAAGTCATTACGATATTTGTATAGGAAGCTTCTAAAGCATTTATGACTATTGACTATTTGGATCAAGTGGAAATCCAAGTTCCCATGTTGTCTATCTACCCGGGTCTATGTGTCCGGAATCAAATTGTAGGTCTCCCGTTCTTTTCATGAAGTTGGATAGCGTTGCTGCCACATTGTAATGCTTTTGATTCTCACCTCTTTTTTGCTGCTATAGACATCTTTGATAAGTTGTATAATCGCGCGAATTCGGCTCCCTGGATGTCAATGAGAGCCATACAGGCAATTACCTCAGCAGCGTCGTTCGATATGGTGCGGAAAGCACTTATCACCTGTATTATAGAAACCAATGAACTGTGTTAATTGTTCTAGCATATGTCTTTTTTTTGTGTCCGCCTGTCCGTCGGTCTGTCTGTATATATCCCAACTAGACCTTGAGTTTTTGAGATACCGATATGAAATTTGATACTCGTCCTTTTCTCACCAAGAAGCTGCTCATTTGTTGGAATGACACTGCTATAACATATAGCTACCATACAAACTGAATGATCAAAAACAAGTACTTGTATGGAAAAATTTTATATTTAACAAATTATCTTCACTTATACTCAAATTATAATCTCTGAAAATATTGTTCCGATCGTATAACTACAGCATATCGCTGCCATACAAATTCGTCAAACTTAAGTGTTTGCATGGAAAACTTTTTTATGTGACAAGGTATCACATGAATTTTGGAACTCAAATATCGCTGCAATCTCCGAGAATAATGTCAAGATCAGACTCATATAGCTAAATGTTGCCATCTAGGTTGACAGATCAAATCGAGACAAATATATCTCTTCAAGCTTTTGCACTATAAAAAACGCACCGGTTAAGGGTATTATAGCTTTGGTGCAGGCGCAGCTAACACTCTTTCATGCTTTTGCATAAATAAATTCGAACCGAAAATCTATTTTAAAATAAATATTAGACGAATATAGCAGAAGTAAAGCAGCCATATTTTTGCTCGAACTATTTGTAATACTTCTTATTACACATTCCCCTTTATGTTATAACTACTACATCTACGAGTGTATGAGTAAATACTTGTATGTGTGTTAGATCGGACTTCTACAACAATTGCAGAGGTGGCAAGCAAGCTGCTCTTGCTTTTGTCCAAATATTAAGAATCCTTGCCTCTTCTTGCAGCAGCTGCTCTCCAGTGGCGGAAAATGACAATCGCTGGCCGCTTGAAGTGCGCTCCGCCTCTCCAATTCGAGCAAAGCAAACGCCAAATCGCCCAGGCTATCGTTCGAAGCATCTTCGCTTTTGCTACGAATCCACTTGTAATACAATGGCGCTGGTTGTAGTTGGTGTTGGCTTTGTGAGTCAACAATGCGGAAAATGGTAAAACATGTGAGCGTGAGCAGCACCATTTCACACATGAAATACTTGCACACAAAAGCCGAATGCGAAGCGCACACAAACGCATATTTTGCAGATTTTTAATATCCACACGCACAAGCGTATGCTCACCGTTATTGTGCGCTGCAGCAACATGGTTACGTAACTTGCGTAGCACATATTGCGAGTGGCTAGTATCTGCTGAATTATTTCTCTTGCTTTTGTCACATGCATTACCTTCTTCTTCTCTATCTCTTCGCCTTATCCTTGTCTTTTTCCGCAATATTCCACTGGAAATGGACCAAAGTCAACTTGACCTGAAATTGCTTGGGTTGCCAGCTCTACCATGTGCAAGCTTGCAGTTGTTGATGTAAGTTTTATTTATAATATTTATATATACATACATATGATTCAACTATATAACCCGCCGGTATTTATGTTTAGCTCCAATAAGTGTTTTCCTTTTATTTGTGTGATTCGCCAGCGGAAATAAGAACAACCAAAATGCTAAGAACTACTTTTTTTGAGGGAATTAGTGATGTGGCATTTATGTTTTTAATATAAGGAAAATACCTTACTCACACAAAAACGCAAGATTTAGGATTGTCGATTATAAGCATTTCGATCTTGAAAAAAAAAAACAAGAAAAAACGTTACCTTCCCTTGCACCGAAGCCATAAAAAACTTACCATTTAAAGTTTTCATATTAGTCGTTGAGTTTGTTTAATGGCCGATCCGACCAATAACCAGCTTCCTTATGATTAAATCACGCATACTCGTGAAATTGTCAGATCAATGTTTTAAACACTGGGCGACTACTCAGGCAGACAGTCGTACAAGGCTAAATCAGCCGTCACATTGATCGTTTATACTACGGTGAATATCGAAAGGATCAGTGAAACCATTTTGAAATATGATTTGGGCCTAAGAAAAGTGTAAATACGATTGGTTCAAAAATCACTAAAATAAAGGAATTGGTGCGTGAGTATCGATGCTTAACAGTCATCGATCTTACTGGTATCATTAGAATATCGGAATAATTTTTATCATCATAAGTGTCGCTTTAACGTCTGTGAAAAAATGCTTTCCGACTACCGGGATGCCATGAGACGTACTATTACTGACCATGAGTCTTTGATCTATACTTACCGACCCGGAAAGGGGCAAACAATCTGTCGAAACTGGCAACAAGAAATACTAGTTGAATATTATGCGAAGCTTATTGCAAAGATTCTTCATAAGATTTTCGCAAAATTTGTAGCCACTATCTCGCCGCAACCACTGTATTTGATTTAGCACTGTATGACTTCTGGTTATTTAGCAATTTCAAATGACAACTCCGTTGAAATCGTTTCAATTAAATTCAAGACATTTAGACTATTCCCGAAATTGACTTTGACGACTGTTGCGAGGATTGGAAAAACCATGCCACATGTGTATTCGGACAAAGTGGAATCATTTGAGGGGGACAATATAGATTTTGAAGACTGAAAATTTTAAAATTATGAACAACTATTTTGTGCTCGTAGTAGTATATTACATATATATTTTATGGAGTTGCTAATGTTTCCTTCTGAGTGTTTCAAACTTCGTGACAAACTTAAAATAACCGGTACAATGCATAAAATATGGATGTACAAAATAAGACAATATGTTTAATTAGTAATTATTTTTCTTTATTTTCTTCCAGCTTCAGTAAGAACAGCATTATACACACATTCCTGAGGATTTCAGAAACTAACTAAACATATAGAGATCTTTACTGTAACAAATATGTAAGTATTATTATAACCTATTTGTAATCCAAGGGTATATTTAAGAGAGCATTTCCACGATATTAGTCATGCTTTGTTAAAAACTGTCAATTAGATTTGAATAGTACTAAGCTCAAAATTGTTCTTGGCTTAGAAGCTATTTCTTAACTTGGGAACCCCTAGTGTGAGTTAGAAAAGAAATTGACATTTTATGCTTACACATTTCGATTGGCTAAATCTTCATAAATATCATACTCAAATTTCAAATCGATGCTTCTAATAGTTTTTGAGTAACAGCCTACTATTTTATAGCCACTAAGCTGAATCAGATGCGTCAGTTTATATTTAAACGCCCCTTATTCAAAATAGCATATTTCTAATTTGCTGCACATCTATACAAACCTAGATCCCCACTTAGCTACTTAGATTTTTCGCTCTGATCAAATATCGAAGTTTAGAATTCTAAAAAAGACCCAAATTTAGCTTCTTAAAGGGGTTTCATTTTATAAATTTCTAGTTTAACGAGATCCAAATATTGGAACTGGAGTTTAATTTTAAAAGTATGTTGTCACTTGTGACTTACTCTGAAGCTGGAAACTTTTCAGTCTTTTACGCAATATCTAGAACGATGTGTGAAAGTTCGCGAATTATTTCTGTACTGGCTCGAGAAAAAGCTGTAATAATAGTCCGCCAAACTTCAGCCTCTATGGCTCGCAATTCCTTGCCGAGTCCGTTTGGATGATTTTGGTAAATATTTCGGGTATGAAACACGTTCTTTCTCGATTCGTTCCGATTAAGCTGAATTATTTTCAAAAAGAGAACCGTAAACAGGTATCTTTGGTCATGCTTGCTCATGCGAATTCCGATCCCACATTTGTGGAGAGCATTATAACTGTTTCTGAGACATGGGTTCATGAGTTTGTCAAGAAAACAAGTCAACAATTATCGAATTCGAATCCGTTTTCAGTCGATCGAAGAGATAAACTGGAAAAATGGTGGACCTAAGTATATTATAATATACTGTATAATAAATACTGATGAATAAAAAAATAGTTAGTGTTTTATTTATAACTTCCGCGTATTGTTTTTTGTCACAATGTATATTTCCTAACAATAAGTGATTTGTTTAGTTTGCAAAAAGTTCCATGAGTCTAATGATCTCGAGCACTTCCATCACCTCCATAAATCATACTTTTTTAGTGCGCTCATTTTGCATCAGCTTGGAGGAACAGTAAAATAGAATATAGATACAGTTGTCTTTAGAGTGTTTAAGTAGAGATTCTATATATCATAGAATACTTAAGAGTATCGTACGAAGATCTCAATACGTATTAAGAATTTCTAAATTTGGATTGAAGTACGAAAGCAGTTATTAAGAATAAATGGTTATATGGTCAGTTCAGAGAAGAGGGTAATGCCACATGATTTTAGCGAAATGTGGTACGCATCTCTCTTAGTGATAATTTGTCTTTGCTTTTTTTCTTAGCAATTATCTCTTTGCATTACGTATTTCGCAAATATTCTTCAAAAGACTCAGAACTCATAATTGTGAATATATTTCAGGCATAGAAATATGATCAACGAAAGTTCAAACAGAAGACCGCTGCCTTCCTTTGGCAATGCAAACGCTTTTAGCTGCCCACCTCCTCTTCCTCTATAATTTCTATTGCAGCGCATATTTTTTCGTTCATTCGTACTTTGAATGTTGCAAAGTTATCTCGCCTTTTGCGGCCGAAAAGAACCATAAAGCCAATGCAATTGTGTGCCGATTAGCAGCTTGTGGCGATTTAGCTGCTTTGTTGTCGCTCACATGTGCTGTTATTATTTTTGGTGAACAGTTTTTTTCATTTTCTTTGCACTTGTCATCGAAGGCATATTGCTGTCCACAAAAGTGGCTGGATTTGCAAATGTTTCGCTTTTCTCGTTTTCAGTTTCGTTCTGCGCCTTTGCTTAGATTTTCCACCGTTTTTGCTTTGCGGCTCTCGGTGTGCGTATGGCATATGCAATTTTCTGCTGACAGTCGCATTCTTGTGTTGCTTTTCTCCCTCAAGCCACGTTTTCTTAATAGCTAATGCCGCAAAAACCCTAAAGTGCTGCTCATCACTTGCATTGTCCACCGTGGAATTTCAGGTTGTTGCTTCTATTTCGCGATGGAATTGCGCTAAATTACGCTTGTCACTCATGGCTGAGCATGAACTTTTGTACACCCTCGCTTTGCCTTACAATTCTTACTTTTGTCAGGCTTTGACTCTGCCTTGTTTATTCCTTCACATCCTCCGCTTCTATTCATCTGGCTTCTACTTTGTGCCAGCATTAGCGGAGCGCACAATTAGCAGCAACTACCAAGCCGTTAAGCAGAGCGAAAGCGAAGGCAATAAACACTCATCACTGGCGCGCATTACTCATACGCGCTGTGGCCCTCGGTAGGTTGGTTGGGTGTCGAACTCTCATAAAACATTTCTTGTCAAACAAAAAGCGATTAAAACTGCTATAAACATAAGCGCATTAACGGCGCAATAATATTATCAGCTCGGTTATTGCTTGCGCGCTCGCTGTTGTTGCTATATTTGCGTTGTCTTCGTACTAGGCGTAGCCGGATTGTCCTAATATTTCCTCCAGCAAGAATTTTGATTAACATTTATTGGCTTCTCTGGCAGAAAGTGAATCCCCGTGGTGTTACTTCTGCTTTTACTTAAGCTTCAATGTGAGTTTTATAGCGGCATAGTTTCAGCGAATTTCATGTGCTTTATATTAAGTCTTCTTAAATATTCAACATCGGCGCACGAACACAAATTCGATTTTCGTTTTAAGAATATGTGTACAATAAAATAGAAAATTTAGTCTGTTGCTTCCGAAGCATCTTAGGTTTAGTTTAAAGTTTTCACTTACGTTCTTCTTCTTAATTTTCTTTTTAGTTGTTTGCTATTTCTCTTTTATCGAATCCATAACGCTCTTTGTATATTATGATATTGTGGCATTAACTCTATTTTTTTTTACTTTTTCAGTTCTTTACAATAATAATTACACACTAAAACTGAATTTTTATGGAAAATTTTTTAACCTCTTATCACAATTGTTTTGGTCTTTATGGAAATGCAACTCTCTTTTTTGAAATCTTTCGACTCATGATTTCAGAAATTGGCCTGCGAGAGAGTTATGAATTTGTAAATCAATAATTAATAGTTTTTTTTTATTGAATGTGAATATACTACTGTGATCAAATTGAAAGGTGAATTTTTAATTTATACTTCGCGTGTTTTTCAAATCGATAAAGTTTGTTTGTAAGTTGGTAGTACTGTTGGTGACATTCGTGCTAAATTACATGTCTAAATATTCATTAGTACTTGAGATACGCGTCGTTTTGTGGGGCTCTAAAAGTGAATTCTTCGACTTTTTACTAAGTCTGAATTTATTGAACAAATAATTGTGTTTATGCACCATCTCATACTGCATTGGTTATTCGTGACCATTTTGCCACATTTTCAACTAATATCGTTCTGCAACCACCACATTCGCCTGATTTACCTTCGCTTGACTTCGGGCTGTTCAGCAAAGTCAAAAGACCACTCCGAGGACGAGGTTTGACTAAATTGAGAATATAAAAGCTGAATCGAAGAAGGTCTGATGGCTAACACGACGGAGGATTTTGTCAAGTGCTATGATGACTGAAAATTTCGTCATTGCATAAGTGTATTGCAGCCGGAGGGTATTACTTTGAAGGAGATGAGATGGGCAAAATTCACCTTTCAATTTGATCACAGTAGTATGTATATAAATAATATCCGAAAACTTGAAGTTTCTAGTTTCTGAGATATGAGCGTGTTTGTAAGAGTTCTCCTTTTTCGCCTGAACTGATCCACTTTTTTTCTAAGTCCTTAGCAACTTGTCCGTTAAAAATCGACAGAAAAACGATTTTGAAAAAGCTTAAATTTTTGAAGCCACTCTGAAGTGTGATTATTATCACTAAAATTAATATTTTAGTTACTGTGTCCTTTAAAGCAGGACCGATCTTTCGTCGTTACATACTATCATTTGGCTCTAGTCCTTGTATGAACCGGTATCTATGCATTACCGATAGTTGAATAGCACTTCCAGCAGCAGATTTGCCAAACCAGTCTGCACCAATTTCTATAGGGATCTGAGGAATGTTCGTTTAAACTTCGAATGCCTTGATAATGCCAGCCCTTGCACTGAGAGCACCAAGCTTCGGTGCTGTGATTATGCTGCCTGGTACAAACATCCCTTAAGTAAAATTTTTTTTGTTTTGGGACTTTTTGATATATTGCACCTGAGAGTGTAGGGGAAGTATGTCTGTTTGCGCATAGCTCGTGCTGGGCAAATAATGCCTCGAAGGGCGTCAGGTATCCATACGATCCTCTCGAAATCATTTAAGGCTGACATCCAGATTGACCCTTTTCACAGATCCCTTGACACCCCAATCCAATCCCAAACATAGCAACGAACATCCAAGTAAGGAGTCAGACCTTAGTTAGTTACATTCCAATTACAATAATGATGAACGGTTACCAGCCCGTCACTGCCTTCGTCGTGATATTGGGGTGTCTATTACCAGTCGGCACCCTTGGGGAATGTTCTGTGAGAGATTTTTGTCAACCATATTTATCTTACATGCATTTTATTCGCAAACACAATATTTTGCCAATTAGTTGCAACCAGACAGCTTGTTTATAACCTAAATATTTTCCAATAACATTTTGAGTGATATTAGTTAGGTAACGTAAACTTTTTTGCTGTAATGCCTCATCAACAACTTATGACATAAAATTTTGTTAATGGCATGGTTTTAAGAATTCGGCAGGCACACACGCCAGCGGCAAAGTCATAAACTCGAAAAGAGCTCGTGAACCAGCCAACGATATAAGTAAAGTGCGCAATGCAAGCCAAATGAAAGTCTCGCCGCGAGCTGCTGTAAGCGGTGGGCGATCAAGTAGTAAAAAAGGCGCTATGGTGTTGCTTATTTATATAAACATGTTTATAGTCGTATCTCAAACGCCATATAT